GTTACTATGCCTAATTATTAGCGGGTAGATGAAAGGGTGAGGAGTTATTCCTCTGCCTACTTAATGTCGTGGGTTATTTAAAGCAGGCTTTTTACATTCGTTATTTTTCATCCTTGGTTTTCATTATCAAAGTATTGTGTAATTGGAGACATTGCCCCTCTCGAATCGGGCCGATTATTTCAGTTCCAATCAAAGTTGCCTGCTTGAATTTTAGATCTTATCAGACACCTAAGCAACCTCTTAGTGCCTTGTAAGTAGCAGAATGCTCTCTTATTGCTTTCCGATAGTTAAACCAATATTTGATTGCTAATGAGCAAGCATGCTTATCATATACGTCATATCCGAGTAAGTAGATACTTAAGTATACATGAGACTTCCAACCACAAAAGCACAAGGAATTGGTCTCGTTTCATTACGATCCATCTTGATCTTAGGTTACTGATATTTATCATCCTCAACAATAAGGGTGACCGAGGAGGAGCAATTTCTGTATGTTGTATTTACCAAGAAACCTTTCCATACAAGTTCTTTGGATAATCCTAATATTCCATGTCTGCATGCTTGGTTAATCTCGATGCCTACCATGCAAGAGGCTTCACTGAGATCCTTCTCAAAATTCTCGTAAGAAATTATTGGTTTCAAAAAACGTATCCGAGTTGTTACTTGCTAAGAGTATTTCACCAACATACTAGATAAATTTGCTCCCCCTCAGCTTAAAGCATGTACATTGGTCCACAATTGTTTTTTAATTAAATTAGAATTTACTATCACCTTATGGAATTTGCGGTACCACTATCAAGACCTGCCTTAACGATACATAGATTTTTTTAATTTTCCAAACTATATGCTCCTTGCATTCAACCTTTAATTCTTGTGGTGGCATCATATAGATGTCCTTATGCAAATCATTGTTTAGGAACAACGTTTTCATGTTCTAGATCATAACTAGTTACCAAAGTTGTGACAATCCTCAATTATTCATTTCTTGGAACAACAGAAAAGGTCTCCTTATAATCCACTCCCTCCTTTTGTGTATATCTTTTTGCAAGCAAACAAATTTTATATCTTTTGGCATTTGTTTCTGAGTCCAACTTTGGCTTATAACACTCACTTGTGATCTATAGATTTAGCATCTGTAGGAAATTTTCAAGTTCCCAAACATCATTTCATTGAATTCATCTCATCATTCATGGCTTCAAGCCATTGAGTTGATCCATGACATTTGTAATGGTTTCGTATAAGAGGAAGGATCTTCAAGCCTACACAAGTCATACTTACCTTTCATTAAAATAGGTTAGGAAACAGCCATAAGCAACAGGCTATGTACTTTTTTCAAACCTTCATAACGGCTTGAATTTTTGGCTGATTATTGTCAGTTTCAACATTATGTGGTGTTGTTAATTTTGTGTTCTTCATAAACACAATAAGCGGCATGATTTTACGATCAAGATCATGTGTCTTGTTTCCATTAACTCCCACTGAAATTGATACTCTCAAGTTCTTTTAAAGTATATATAATAACTTTACACGGAAAAACTCACACACTCCGTGAGACTTGAACCCTTGACCTCTTGGAAGGTTGGGTTACTGGGTAATGCTGGGCCAATGGCCCTTTGGTTACTCTCAAGTATTTGACTTCCACTGTCTCGACTTCTGTATGAGATGGATAACAGAATGGTACCCCATGGATTCTTTATAGGTATTCTATCAAATAACAGCTAATGATCTTGGTTAATTTATTATATCATAGGGTTGAAAACAATAGCTACCATACATCCTATAATTGATAACAACCGATACCCCTTGGATTCTATATGGATATCTATTAAATAGCAACTAACAGTCTTAAGGTTAACAGCCTTAGCAAATTCTATGGAAGACTTAAAGTTTCATTCACAGGTCTAAAGTCTATATATACACACACTTTTGGACATGAAATCAATAAATAATTATAATGACAATTCTAATCTATGAGGATATACATTATCTACCCTAATTTATTGTCATTCTCTTCTTGCAACCCAGTTTCAAATTTAGCTCCATTGGGTGTCATTCTCCTGAATAAGACCTAGAATGTAGTTCCTTTCTGAAACTGATATACAGGATTTGATCCTTGCAACTTTCATCCCCAAGAAGCTCTCATGCACCCACCTACAGGCCCAATCCCGTCCCGAAGTAATGTTCTAGAAGAGGTTGCAGGAGTATTTTGGGTACTTCTGATAATAAATAACTAGCATACAGAGAGTGTTAGATGAGGTGTGAGGTATGCAGAAATTAGTGAGATTCCTTTGGGAGAGACTAGCATTCTCAAATTGCTAGAATCCTTCTGTTTCATTAGTGAAATACCTATGAGAGTTGTACTCTGTTCTCCATTATCTGCTTGATTCTACTCCGCAACAAAAGTATTTGGGAGTCCACAAATCTTTTAATCAAATGTTCTACTTAGGAAAGATTTGAGTTGTTCCACCTTATCCCTACCATTGCTGGTCATTATATTGTTGCCAAAATAGATTTAGGAAACAGACAAGAGGAGGATGAACATTGAACAGGTTGTTTAGAAACCTTATTTCATTCTCGTTGGGATCTTGCTTGTGGAAATATAAATGCATAAATATCCAACACAAAATGTAAATGACAGACTCCTCATCCTACATCCATTCCCCAGCGCTCTCAAGAGTTGAAATTCACTAGAATATTATTTTTTCAGTTAAGTAAAAAATCGGTATTCGGTCCTATAGAGCAGCCTTTCAAAGAGTGCTATACTAATCAATCAAATAGTCTCACAACAGAGACTAAATACGGGAAAATTAATCACACAATGTATATGGCTCAAATGATATTTTTATTACATCAAAGAGTTCTAAAATATTTCTCAAAATTCAAAAACGAATTGGTAGAAAATATTACACTTTACAAATGAGAAGGATATTTATACGTGTGCAAGAAAACTTTCTAGGACGTCCATGAACCACCGACAAATGTTCGCGGCCTGCCTAATAAATGTAGGACCACTCTGACATATAACTAACCATTACAACATCCAGCAACATCCACGAGGAACCCATTGACGTCCGTTGATTTTTTTTTGACTGAAAATGCCTCCTACATGATTCGAATCCACAACCTCAAGGTTGTGATATTTGACTCCTTACAGCTAGTTAAAGGTCACTTGGTGATAACTTTTCCAATAAAAAAAATTTAATCCTGCATTCTAGAAAATCATTTCAATTTTTTTGGCAATTAACAACCCAAATTAAACTTGAGGTCACTTGAACTCGCAAGATAACAATGAACACTCCAAGTGTTCTTCAACTAGAAGTTTTGTATGTGTCAACATTTTTTCATGCTTCACAATATCGATCCCCGAGCTTCACTAAAATCACAATTAACTTCCTTTTACGCGTAGAAGTCAGAAACTTGAACTTAAGCTCGTTAGTACAAAGGGACCCCTTTGTCAATCATCAAAACACGTGTAAAGAATGAATTGAGATAAAACCAAAATTCCGTATCTACACCAACAATAAACAATAAGAATTGATCTCCTTTCTTCCATTGAATGTTTGAAGAGCATATGTTGAGCGTATAGATAACCTCTAGATTTGATGGCCTTGGTGAATTAATCATACCACAGTCTAGAAGATTGTTTTAGCGCATATAAAGATTTTCTAAATTTGCAAACCTTACCTTTATATTTATTGAAACTTGGAGAAAATTAACCTCCTCATTTTAAGTCTCATTTAGAAAAACATTCTGCACATGTTGTTTTATAGGCCAATCTAGACTAGATTGGTAGCTACTAGCTACAAAACTTTAAATTTCATATTGGACTTGGTTTGCCAAAGTGGTCTATGCTGTAGATCTCAGTGAATCCCTTAGCGACAAGTCTCACATTATACTTTCCCACACTGTTTTTGGTCTCTTGGCAGATCCATAGCATCTCATGTTTCATTCTTTTTCAAAGCATCTAGATGTTCCTTGATTGCTTATCTCCTTTCAGGAATAGTGAGAGCTTCATGAATTGATTTTGGTATCTTTATTTTAAATATGTTATCAACATAGCCCTGGAAACTTGGAGCATGTCATAGGAAATAAATTTGAAAATCGGATGCTTTGTGCAAGATCTCACCCCTTTCCTAAGAATCAGACCTAAGTGTAACCAAAGTTACATATAGTATCTTGTATATTCTAGATTCATCTATTATTTTGTGTTTATTATCTTATTTTCTAGGTTCTTTTTCCTAGATTCATGATTATAAGATTCTATATTTTGTAGGTGTCTTTCATAATTTCTCAGTACATCTTGTACTATCTATCCATGTACCAAGGGTGCCTATATATATCCCCTTCATCTATGAAAGCCGTGGCAAAGTATTTGCATAAATGAAGCAAGTCATGCTTCATAGAAGTTTCTTCTCTCCTAGTTACTCTCTTCTTCGTGAGTAGTCGTTTGTTTTTGGTTCCTCTTCTTCTCACCTTTCAGTTTGAGACTCGTGCAATTGTTGCGCACTTGCTTCCATTGTAGTGTCTTAAGAAAATGGATGTGTAGCATATGGGGTTATTTAGCTTAATGACCTCCCGACAAGTGCTTTTCAAAATCACGACTTTCTGACAGGTTCCTAGGCATTCTTGTTTATGGAAGCGGCATTCTTCTATTAAGCAGTGGCATTCTCAAACCTATCAGAAGGTCACGTCTTTAAAAAAATGCTGTCAGAAGAGTTTTTAACCAAGGACCTGTAGGATAATGCTAGTGAGACTTCAATTTAGGATTTTTTGGAGCATGATTTTTTTCAAAACACACATTATCTTAGAGATCAAAATAATGGGGTTGAATGATTTGCAAGAATGTGTGACAGGTATGCAGAGATCCCAGATGGGGAAGATGCTATGAAAGTTTCAGTGAAGACACACAAACCGTTTGTAAAATGACTTCCATGGTTACAGGTTTACAAGGACAACCACCAGAAGGATACCCCAAGAACTACCCTTTTGTAGCTGGAAGGTATAATAGTTTTTTATTTGTATGTACTCTCTATGTTTTTTTTTGAATCTTGTGGTTTTGTTTTACGTAATCAATATAAATAATAATTGTTTTTATGCATTCATTTGTAACAGAACCAATGTCGTTGCATGTGCGAAGCATTTTGTTGGAGATGGTGGTACTGAACAGGGTGTGAATGAGGGAAACACCAAAGTATCATATGAGGATTTAGAGAGGATCCATATGGCTCCCTACCTTGACTGTCTTTCTCAGGGTGTTTGCACGGTCATGGCTTCTTACTCTAGTTGGAATGGCACCAACCTCCATGAGAGCCATTTTCTACTGACAGAAATTCTAAAAGAGAAGCTTGGGTTCAAGGTTAGGGCAAGTGTTCGCTTGTAGAAATCATGCCTAGAATCCGTGATCATTTAAAGAAACTGCCACCTGTTTAGTGGAAAGTGATCCTCATTTCAACTTTTGTGATCAAAATTCATATCCTCTGCGGTGATTAACTTCTCGAATCATTGTACCTGGTTTTGTATTGCAAATAAATCATCATTCTTGTGAAAAATAACAATACACTTCGCAAGAATGAGCGATTCTGGACAAAACATGCCAAGTACAATGATCATTTTTTACATTTACATTTCTATAATTTATCCAAATTATTCTGCAGATGTAGTGCTCTTTCTGCATTTATGCAAGAACTGTGATTTTGATTATTTTTTGCAACAAAAAACCAAGTATTAATCAAGTTAATCTGTTGTAATCCAGTTGGAATTTTACTCGCTGGTTGACATAAGGCAACTTATTTTTTCTGCATCAGGGTTTTGTTATCACTGATTGTGAAGCACTTGACCGGCTTTCCCATCCTTATGGATCAAATTATCGAAAGTGTGTTTTGTCAGCCATTAATTCAGGGATTGACATGGTAGAGGCTTTAATTTTAAGTACTACTTTTTTTACACCTTTTGTTTTTGCCTTCTCTTTTCCTAAAATTTCTTACTAAAACTATTGTAGGTGATGGTGCCCTTTCGTTATAAGTTATATCTAGAGGATTTGACACATCTAGTAGAAAGTGGGGAGATACCAATGAGCAGGATTGATGATGCTGTTGAGCGGATTTTACGAGTGAAGTTTGTAGTGGGACTTTTTGAATATCCCTTAAGTGATAAATCTTTGTTAGATTCAGTTGGTTCCAAGGTACGTTCATCAGAAACTTATTTAGATATATGCTGTAGATATCGAGAGTGATAATGCATTAGAATCTTTTTCGTCTCTAGAATATGTCTGACCTCCAAGAAACAGGTATAACTTTGCCAATTAATCCCTTAATACACATGTATATTTACTGGTTCGTAGCCTGTTCTATAATTGACTCATCATTGGTGCTGATGATAACTCTTACTAGTTACCATGAGATACACTTTAATTTTGTGGTCGAATTTGATCATTTTGGCTACCATATCTAACATGATTTTACTTCTATTTTGAAGATCAAAAGCTTTGTTATGAAAATGAAAATGAGCAAATAAGTAATTTTACAGAAATAAAACATTGCAATGAATATGGAATTTACAGAAATAAAACATTGCAATGAATATGGAATTTACAGAAATAAAACATTGCAATGAACACGGAAAATCCAGAAATGAAATTCCTTGCAACTTCTATGGGACAGAGCGACTATTTTTCTTTCATATTTAACATAGTACTATTATCTTCCTCCTAATCTAAAATGTTGTTTATTAGACCATAATGTCAAGATGTATTTTTTATATTTACTTGTTCTTGTTAGTTGAAATAAAGTTGAATGTCCCATGCTAAGTTCCCTGAATATGGATGCCTCAAAATGAATAGATTGTAAGACTGTTGCAAATATCGACCACATCAAACTCGATCCGACTCAGAAAACTGCGATCGAAATAGAGTAGAAACTTAATCGAATTTAACCAAGATCCAAAATAAACTCAAAACATGTTTGTAATGCGGAAACGATAAACGCGATCTCTCAATGGAAACAATAATCAACCACAAAATATAAACGTAACTTGACAAAAGTAAATAAGAGAGAAAACGACGCTGGATTTACGTGGAAAACCCAGAATGGGGAAAACCAAGGGTGGAGGAGACCACCGAGAAGTCCACTATACTTGATCGATGTTACAATGCTAGGAAACGGAGAGATCGGGGAAGAAAATTACATATTTAATGCTGCTGAATTCTAATATATTTTGATGGGTGAGAAGCCATATAATAATATTTTCCTATATGAAAGCAGCCACGAAAAGAATCTGGAAATTGCTTCAAAGGAACCGTCCATAGCTTTTTGGGGCGACTTTTCCGACGGCTAAAGCTGCATGGGAAGTCGCCCGAATTCCCAATGTCAGCAAACAGTATCTACGACGAGATATCATGTGGGTTTAGAAGCTGAGAATGTCGTCCGGCCAATATGAAGATTCTTGTGAGTGAGTTTAGAGGCAAATGAAATCGCCTTAGTCACCGTTAGATGCCTCCTTTATTGACTTTTGATGTTGACTCCACTTCCATGCATGACTTTTTTTGAAGTATATAATATTTATATATGGCAAATGCAACAAATAAACACACACACCCTCCTCACCCTTGGTGAACCCTGAACTCTCATGAAAGCCAAAGGCCTGGATACCGCTAGGCCAAAGTCCCTTTGGTTCCATGAATCCATTATATATGTATATTACAATCTCCACCTTGACTCCAAAAGATAATTAAACCCAACAAAACCATCTCCACAAACAAAGCTCCAACACAAGCTTTGAAACACATCATCAATAAAATAGTGAAATTAAATATGACTTCTCGAAAATGGATTAACGAACACATACCTCCTCCATCGGCCTTTCATGGGCTATTCTAAACCATAACAACGGACCAAGTTTGTAAACAAACCAAACTTAGCCGTTAGAATAAATTTGGTCATCATATAGGCAGGATTAACGTGAGTGGAAACCTTCCTCACCTTAAAAGTCTCCTTTAGCAATGACCTCTCTTTCGAAGTGATAGCACACATCGATATGCTATCCTGCCCTTGTAAAACATCTGATCCTTTGTCAAGAAAATAGCACTTTGATTATCACAGAATATAGAGTCCACAATAAGCTTATCACCACTAAGGCTATTGAACAAGCCTTTAAGCCATATCGCCTCTTAAACCCTCAATAAAAACCATGTATTCCGCCTCAGTTGTAGAGAGAGCAACTTTTGGTTGAAGAACGACCTTCCAACTGATGGCACATGAACCTATAGTAAACACATACCTGGTAAGAGAGCAACTGCCATCCAAATCACCACCATAGTCAGAATCAACATACCCTTGAACACCGTCTCTAGAAGTCCCAAAACACAAACAATAATCTCTCTTACCTGATAGGTACCGGAGAACCCACTGAACCGCCTTCGGGTGCTTTTTGCTCGGATTAGCCATATAATGACTCACCATGCTCACAACATAGTCCAAGTCCGGTCTTGTACAGATCATTGCATACATCAATGACCTAACCTCACTAGAGTAAGGAACCCGAGACATACTATTTTTCTTCATTAGAAACGGGGCATTGATGTGCATATAATTTGAAAATGTGCAACAATAGGAGTATTTACCGTTTTGGCTCCATCCATGTTGAATCTCTTTAAAACCTTTTCGATAGCTCCTTTGACTAAGTGTCAAAGTTCCCGCCTTTCAGTCTCTTGAAATCCCCATGCCAAGAATTTTTCGAGCTTTGCGCAAATCTTTCATTTGAAACTCCGTATTCAGTTGATCCTTGACTTCTTGGATATCTTCCTTGTTTTTTGAAGCTATAAGCATATCGTCGACATATAGCAATAGGTAGACAAATGAACCATCTTCACATCTCCTTATATTGACACAACTATCATATAGAGAACGTGAGAAACCATGTGAAGTCATAAAAGTATCTAACCTTGTTGGTTCCAAGAGGGTTAACAAGTCATATAACAATTTGTAGGGGGGTGGGGGTTGGATACAACCATAATTTATTTCACTTTTTAAATTCGTTTATTGATTATAGAGAAGAATCAATACAGATGAATTAACAGACTGTTGCGGAATAAGAAAAGGAGATAATCCTAATCTAAACAATCTTACTTTAGAACTTAGAGTACTTAGAATCTCTGAACAACTTAAGTAGAGAAATCACAAGACCTATATTTGAAATAGCGGTTATAACGGTCCAAAAAATAGCTGGTTCGTATAATATTTCTTAGATATATATATATATATATATAATATGTATGTATGCATACATAGACATATCATATGCATTAATTAAAAATATAGTTTTAACATCAAAACATCAACTTAAACAAGTTTCACAAAACAAAATAGGAAAAATGTTTATAAACGATTCCTTCCAAGAGTGGAAGAGGCTGTCGAACGTGGAAAAACCTACGACTTCCTTCCAAGTTCCAACTTGGGTTGATGATAGAATGAAAGTTATTGTTAATTGTTATACTGTTATGTTAACGGATTAAATTAAAACATAGCCCAAATCAAAATAAAAAACCCAACTGCCCAAGTCAAAGACTAAGGGGCTGTTTGTTTGGCTCTTAATGGTGACATTAAGAGCCAACCTCTTAATCGCTAAGAGGTRAGGAGTGTTTGGCAAAAAAAATAAGGCTCTGAATGGTTACATTTTCCCTCTTAACCATTTTGCATCTAAGGGGTCTCTCAACCATTCAGACTTCTCCTTTTCCATATTTGCCCTCTCTTCCATCATCCTCACACATCGCTCACAGCCCCTCCTCCAGACCTACGATCGCTGCCGCCTCGTACTCTCTCTACCCACTGCCGTCTCCACTCCCTTGTTCGTTGCCATTTTCCGTCACCGACGACAACCGGCCGACAAACAGCCCCTATCTACGATCTCTCTGTTTTGACCGTCATCGTCTTCACCATCTCTGGATCTCTTGAACCCGTCGCCTTCGTCCCCTTCCCCACGTCGGCCGGTTTTCGCCGGTGACCTCCATTGTCTCCATCGTCGGCGACCTCCATCGTCTCCATCGTCGGCGACCTCCATCGTCTCCATCGTCGGCGACCTCCATCGTCTCCATCGCCGGCGACCTCAGTTAGTTAAGAGTATGCAAATCAAACCCAACCCAAAAACCTAAATCAAACTCTACCATCCCTGTTCGTGTCAAGACCCTTTGATGGAGTGGGAAGTTAAAGGAAAAGCATACCTGGTTGTTTGAAATCGAACCCATCACCTGAATCGAACCCATCACTTGAAGTTAAAGGAAAAGCATATCTGTTGGTTTGGATTAATGGGTTTTTGTTTGATGAGGGTTAAAATGGTAATTTATTGTCATTCAGAAAACAGTTACCAAACAACATTATTTTATTCAGCACTTAACCATTCTGACCCTCTTAACCATTCTGACCTCTTAACTATTCTGCACTAAATCATTCAGCAACTGCCAAACAGCCCCTAAAAAATAAAGCCTAAAAAAAACCCAAACTAAATAGCGCTATTGAGGACCGCCATTTGGACCCTAAAATATCGGTCAAATTACAGTAAATTGCGTCGATATTAGCGGCACCGCTATTTACACCGCCATTTGACCACCGATAATTTGCATAGGTCCAATATCCGATATTGCGCTGCAATTAACAGCATAGCTTTGCACGTGACACTTGAAAAGAAGGAAGGGAGAAGATATCAACGGTAGTGAGAAGGAGGGTCTTCTCAGCTATTTATACCCTGTGCACTAAATGCACGCATCAACACGTGTCAGGAGGACAGGCGAGAGGCTAGAAGGTATTCGTCAAAAGCAAAGCAATCTTTGGCCGCTCGTGCTTCAGGAGAGTTGGTGGACGTGTAGGGAACAGTAAAGCATATCGTACTGTACCACAAGTCAGATTGAAGCATGGGAGTTGACTTGTGCAATTGAGGATAAGACAAAAACTTGATATGCAGATTCTGAATCACCTTGGGAAGATGTCGTTGAGGACTTCTTCAGATGTCGCTGATCTCTTGAGTAAAGTTTCACATTTCTTTCAAATAGGTTTGTTATCACTGAATGCCGCTTCAGATCATTAACACCACTATCTTTATCTTCAGCTACTTTTTTGACATCTCTAAAGTTTCTTTTTATGTGTCTTGTCTTAAGAAAAAAACTTAAGTTCTAAAAACATTAGATAAATAACTCAGCGATCACTGAATAAAGTCAGTTGCTGGTATAGATGATAGAACTTACAAAGAGAAGTAAAGACCAAGTAGTTAGGATCATCATCAAATCACTTGAGAGGGATTAGGATCAACAAACAGTTTTTACCATTGCCTTGGCGATTGCTTAAGCTCGTATAACGACTTCTTTAGCCTACAAACCAAATCCTCTTGACCAATACTCACAAAAACCTTGAGGTTGATCCATATAAATGTCTTCCTCTAACTCACCATGTATCACCTTGTAGAAATGCAGTTTTAACATATAACTGCTCAAGTTCAAGCTCATGCAATGCTACAATGCTCAACAAAGCACGTATAGAAGAATGCTCAACTACAGGTGAATAAATATTCGTAAAATCAATACCTGGAATCTAACTGAATCCCTTTGCCACAAGCCATGCCTTGTATCTAGGAGGCTCTACAACTGGTATTCCTTCCTTGTTCTTGTAGATAGATTTGCATTTTATCGCCTTTTTACTGAAATGAAAATTACAAGAGAAAAATCTAGACTAGTCAGATAGATCATCAAAAGTAATGAAGTAAGGATAAAGGAGCCTACTCCATCTCTCGTCTTTTCAGCTCTAATATGATATTTCTGTCAAGGTGCAGTTCTAGGAGAGTGGAAAAGACCTGGAGCAATAGAGAGGTCTGAAGATCTTTGAAATCTGAGATCACCTTTCAGGGCCATGAAGAAGATGCGGTGAGCTGGTTTGAAGAGTATGTCTCCATGTATTGACGACTACATATTTGTCGGTGGGAATCTAGTTTCTTGGAAGAGCAAGAAACAACATAAACTCTCCCGATCAAGTGCCAAGTCAGAGTACAGAACCATGGTAGATGTCATGTGAGATGACATGGGTAAAAAGAATTCTAAGAGAGATTATTGATGACTTGATGAAATTATATTGTGATAATCAGTCAGCAATTCATATAGCCAAGAATCAAGTATTTTATGAGAGGACTAATCACATTGAGGTTGATTGTCATCTGATTAGAGACCGGTTTGTTGGAGACAGGCCCTCCATCGATTCAACCGGTAAGCATTAGGGCTGAGCATCAGCTTGCAGACATTCTCACAAAGCCATTGCAGAAACCCCAAATAGATTCATTTATAACAAGTTGGGCATGATTAACATCTTTGCTCCAACTTGAGGAGGAGTGTTAGACATCTAGGGTTTTACTTTCTTGACCTCCTTTGTGTAGTTTCCTAATATAAGACTCTTTTGTATATATAAATGCTTGTATCCTCTCCTATTGTGAATAAGACAATACAATTCCCAAAATATTATCATGATGTAAGAAGCTGTTGATGCGGTTTCCGACCAAAACATTTTTGCCAATCTGAAATTTGACAACATACATCGAACCTTTTCCAAGATCCTTCGGTTCATACTTTCTACCACACCCTTTTGTTGGGGAGTCTGGACCACCAAATGGTGTCTAGAAATGCCTTGACTAGTGCAAAAGGCATTATAATCCGACGAACAAAATTCTAGACCATTATCCGTCCAGAGATATTTGACATGCTTGTCGGTTTGCTTCTCTATCATAGTCTTCCAATCATGGAAAGTAGCAAACACATGATTTTTATGTTTGGAGAAATAAGCCCATAATGTATGCGAGTAGTCATCAATAATGATCAGCATGTACACTTCACCACTATGCGACTGCACTCTCGCCGGTCCTCATAGGTCAGGATGCACGTACTCGAGAATCACCTTGGTGGTGAACTCCATAAATGAAGTTCTCACAGAACGGGAGCTTCTTGATCACTTGGCTACACAAAAGTTTCTTTTTGCTCAACTCCATCAAACCGGCATCACCCATATGCCCAAGTCTCATGTTCCACAACTTTGTTTTTATCGACATTTGACGAAGGTACCTGAGCATCTCCTATGATGGTAGTGCCCATCAGAAGATACAAATCTGCACTTTACCGAGTGCCCTTCAGATAGACGAGAGAACCTATAACCACTTTGATAACTCCACCGATGAATTTGTAGCCTTCGATGTCAAGACTACTAAGTGAAATCGGGTTCCTTTTCAGCTCGGTTACATGTCTCACATTACCCAAAGTCCGGATAACCCCGTCATACATCTTGATTTGAACGTTACCTTGACCCACTATCTTGCATAAAACACCATTCCCAACCCGAACTGACCCGAGCATGGCTCATAAGTGGAAAACCAGTCACGGTTAGGACACATGTGGTTGGTACATTCGGAGTCCATAATCCACTCGGGTGAAGCACCCACATCAATAGTCACAACCATTAAATCACCCGTATCATCTTTAGCTACATCATCGCGAGGTTGTCTAGCAGACCCCTTTTCTTTGTCTCTATTTTTGTTCTGTAATTTGTAGCACTCATTTATAAGGTAACCCTAATCTGTAGCACTCATTTATAAGGTAACCCTTCTTACAGAAGTTGCAAAACTTTTATTTGACCATGGATTTCGACCTCAAACTCCCTGAGCTCTTGAAATCTCTTGCTAACTATCTCCCTCTCATACTAACGACTTCAACCGCTTTAGTCACATTAGCAATCTGTTTCATCTTGTTCTTTATATTCAAAGATGCATAGACATCCTCCAAGGACGACTCCCAACTATAGATGATGGAATCCATGAAGTTAGCGAACGACGGTGGCAATGAACACAAAAGAATCAAACCCAAGTCTTCCTCATTATCCCCCTGAAGAGATGTTTTTGGATAAAAGGGAACATACTCAATGAATGTGACATCCATAGTGATGAACAATTTTTTCCCAGTAGGATTAAAACATTTGTAGCCTTTTTTGTGGATGGATATCAAGGAAGATACATTTGGTAGCTCGAGGATCAAACTTGGATCAATTGTGATTATGAATGTGGACATAAGACACACGTCCAAACACATGAGTCTGAAAGTTGTTGAGGACAGGTGGGATTCGGGTTAGGACTGTAAGAAAACTTGTAAAGGTGTTTGGAACTTAAGAACTTAAGAATTTCTTTATTGCAAAACAAACGAGGAAACAATTTTTTCAAATATGGGAAACTTGGGCGACCCAATCTATTGTGCCACAACATGATATCACTAGGAATAATAGACGTGGAAACAAACTGCAAGCTGAGGTGTGAGTTTGAGCTCTTACCGAAACCTTCATATAGTACAGCCCATCATCCTCCTTCGTTGTCCCAATCATTGTCCCCGAGAGATCCTGAAAAATACAAGAGGTAGGAATGATGTGAGCCTCACAAGGTTGGGAAGAAGTAAGTTGACTAATGGACAACAAATTATATGAGTTTGGGAACATGTAAAGTGCAGTGTTAGTTGATCTGAAAGCAAGACAGATCCTTTTCCAGCTACTGAAGCTATAGAACCACCAGCAATGTGAACTTTTTGAATGCCCGAGCAAGGGGTGTAGCTAGAAAACAGGTGAGGCGCTCCTGTCATATGGTCCATGGTCTGATGCTCCAGGATCTACGATCCATTCATCAAGGTGAATTACATGAGAACTTGGAACAGTGCTAGAGGTACCTTTTTAGGCTACGGTACATATCTGATGCTCTGAAGTTGATGAGGGCGAGGAGGCAGCAATGAGATGTTTTAGTTGCTCAATTTGTTCGGCTGAAAAAAACAGATTACCAGATGAGCTGACAGAACTATCAGCATGGCATGCCTTTGATTCACCCATGTGATGTGGGCGAGGTTTTTCGGGATGACCATGGAGCTTCCAACAAGCTTCTTTGAGATAGCCCTACGTTTGCAATGCTCACAAAATTTGGTCATGGGTTCCAAAAGGGAGGCTGATCACCAAGGGTGTGATGGGGTACTTTGTTGCAGCAAGAACAGTGGAGTCCATGATTGATTCTTTCTCAGGGCCAATCATGACTTTGTGACGTGCCTCTTCTCTCCACACCTCAGCAAAGGCTTCATGAAGAGTTGGAAATGAGCCGTGGCTCAACACATGACTACGAGCATCGTCCAATTGTAGCTAGAGACCATATAGGAAGTCAAAAACCCATTCATTTTCCACGCGTAGAGTAAAAATCTTGGCATAAGCAGTACACTTCCACTCATTAGGGTAGAACAGGTCTAGTTCTTGCCAAAGAGTACAAAGAGTACCATAGTACTCGGTGACAGACAAAGATCCTGGGGATTGATCTTGAACACCTGAGAAGTATTTTCAGATCTGAATATGTCTCATGAATGGCATTCCGCAGATCTGCAGCAGTTGGGAAAAACATGTAGGTTTTTCTGATGTTGCAGGTCCATAGCGTTGATGAGCCATGTCGTGATCATGGAATTTACAGCATCCCATTGAGGATAATTGGGATCAGTCGTCGTCGCCGCAGCTGGAGTTGCACCAGTAACATAGCCAATGCGTCCTTTGCCACACAGGAACAGAGAGACAGACTGAAACCATTGCAAAAAGTTTTTCCATTTAGTTTGTGAAAAGGGTTATGTGCAATGATGAATCCGATGAGGCTGCCGAGAAAGGAGGGGTTGACTTGTGGAGAGAGTCATCATTCGACTTCTCCATATCATGACGAGTTATTGGCTGATCGAAGAAGGAATGATTATACAAATTTTTACGGGCTCTATAACCATGTGATTTGAATAAGGATAATTCTTATTCATATTGTACCTTGAAACAAAAGGATACAAGCAACTTAAATAGGCATAAGCTATTCGAGGAGAATCACAAATACAAGGAAAGCACTAATTACAGAATATTGACAATACATAAATAGAAGATTGATTATCAATCTATTTACAAGAAAATATTTACCAAATAATTCTAAGATTATATGCCAACACATTATATTTGGAGGCAAATTATATATAAGTATAATATATAGGGGGCCTTCTTTTGAGAACCGTGCAATTTGTTAGATCCGTGAGATCCAATATAAACCACAAATTGTATTAAATTAATTCGTAAACTAGGAAATTAGTAATCTTGAATAAAAAATTTAAATAAAGATTATTATAGATACTTTACAAATTTTGTCTCTCCTCTCGTTAACAACATAAGCTTAAAAAAATAGAACTAAACTTAACAAGTAACCTAACACATTGTGAACACCAGATATCCTAACACATTGTGAACACTAGGTAACCTAACAATTATCACCAAGTTATTGTTGTAATCACAAGTGAACACGATGTGCACACATGTAAACACGAGAACACCAAAACCAAAAAACAACAGATCACTAAAAACATTTTGTAAGGACTTGATACACATTGTGAACAAAATCAATAATCGAGTTTGAACACCCGTCAAACATCTCTTGTGAATCCAAAACCAAAAATTTATAGTATCCAAAACCAGATACATTTCATTCTTTTGCACTCATTGCTGCAGCTACACAGAGGCATAGCACGGGAAGCAGTTCGCAAATCACTGGTCCTTTTGAAGAATGGAAAAGATCCAAAGAAACCCTTTTTACCGTTAGACTGGTATGCTAAAAGAATTCTTGTAGCTGGAGCTCATGCTGATGATCTTGGCTATCAATGTGGAGGATGGACCGCTACATGGGAAGGAACAAGTGGCAGAATTACTACAGGTGATGCACCCTTCTTGTGGTAAATTCACGTTTGACTTTGGGAGTCAAATTGGCTACTTTTCAGCTTCAAAATTAGATTATGTCAGTTTAAATTTGAATAATAAAATGGCTACTTATTGACTTATTCTGGTGTGGCACCGGTAATAAACACTTTCGAGTGTTTGGATAAACAACTTATACCGGTGCCAAATCGGTAATAAGGAGTTTTTGAAGAAGTTAAACCCTTCTGACTTATAATAAGTTGATAAGTGCTTTTGTAGAAAAACATAAGTTGTTTCAAATAAGCAATTCCAAACACCCCCTAAAACGTCAGTTATAAAAATTATTCATGTATATTTCCATTATGCTAGAATTAAAGTTAGATATCAAAGTCAGCAGTATAGGGGGTACGGACAGGGGGGGATTTTGGTATACGACCTTAAGGGGTCCCATGTCACTGATCAATTGTCCCAATGTGATATAATATAATTTACGACTCTTAAAGCTGTCAGTCATTCGATGATTTATACCACGTCATGACATCAGCCGGGAAACTGAGAGGCTACAATATCATATCGAAGCTAAATTTGAGTTCTGATGGTCACATAACACAAAAAATCTAACCCTGAATCGTTGAAATTGAATCTGGTTACGTACTGTTTTGTATTGTATTTTATAAATATAAATATAATTAGATTTTACTTTATATTACCGTAATTATTTTGTGCCACCACTGAAAAAAATTCTGGGTGTTAAACTTAAGGCCTGAATTAATGAATTTATGATTTTTGAACTCTAGGCACGACGATTTTGGATGCTGTAAAGGAAACCGTCGGAGATAAAACAGAAGTGATATACCATCAAAACCCATCATCAGAAACCTTGGCTAATCAAGATTTCAGCTTCGCAATCGTGGTTGTTGGCGAAACTCCCTATGTGGAGAGCATGGGAGACAATTCAGAGCTCACGATTCCACTCAACGGAAATGAACTGATAACCTCCGTCACTAGTAGATTGCCGACACTAGTGATCCTAATATCTGGAAGGCCTTTAGTTCTAGAGCCGGAGGTTTTTGGAAACACAGATGCTTTTGTGGCTGCTTGGTTGCCTGGCGGTGAGGGAGGAGGAATCACGGATGTGATATTTGGGGATTACGAGTTTGAAGGGAAACTTCCAATGACGTGGTTTAGGAGAGTCGAACAACTTCCAACAAGTGCTGGAGAGGATAACTATGATCCCCTTTTCCCAATTGGCTTTGGGTTGAAGAGCAAGCAGGTTAGCCTGTAAAATGTTAACATTTTCTTGCATTAAGCTTGTTACTGTAAATTGCACTAGATAGTTAGCAACTTTTTCCAAGTCTTATCTTTCATAAATGCAGTGCTCAACAATGGGTGCCAGAACTGAATTTTGGGCACCATCTGTGGCACCCATTTCTTTTCCACCCAAAATCTTGACTGATAGAGGCTACCTTTGTCCTCTTTCTTGCACCATTTTGGTAACTGTGGGTGTCCGGGACCACATGTGCGTACTTCGACTTATCCCATGAGCATTGAAGTTAACAACTAGACAAACCCTCCGGTGGCCCTATAGGGACTTGGACTGGTAACGTCTAGGGAGCAAACCCAGATCTTATTAGTGGAGCTACCCCTCAACCCTCAAGGTTTCTTCTTTCACCATTTTCTTAGATACTCGGTTGGATATATGACGTTTTATGGCTTTGTTCAACATTTCGGATACACAAGTGTTTAGGCTCTTAGATTTGTTTTAGGTGTGAGAGTGACTACTGAAAGAACACGAGAGGTTGGGAGCAAGTAAAGAGATAAAAAGCAAAAGACCGATAAATCGTAGGTGCTAAGGGCATTTTCTTTTACCAGATTCTCTCATAGTCAATCTTGCGTTACAAGTTACTCAAATGACCTTTTAAGACTCTTCAAGATTAAGGTCATCTAACCTTGAGTCCAACTTAATCGGCAAAGAAAGGCTAAGAACATAGGGCTCCTCCCCATACGTCGCCAATTCGAGTCTCCCATGGCCACCGCGGATTTTACCGGCTGTTATCTTCAGGGCCACCGGGGATTATATTGGTTGTTATCTTCAAGGCCATGGTCTAGTCGAGGTGTGCACAAGAATACCCAAACACCCACAGTTACCAAAAAGAAAAGATCATTGTCATTTTTGTTATTCAAGGTTAGTTTACAGTGCTCTCGCTCCCAATTGTGGTGTAGGTCCCGCTTCTTACCCTTAGGGTATCATATCCTTATTGTATAGGCCCCTTCTTTTGTACGGGTGCATTTTGTCTGAACATCTCTACGACCTGCGATTAAACCATACACCAATCTAAAAGGGGAAGTCCAAATCAAACAGACATCCATTCTAATCTGATTTCACCCTCTCCGCATCATTCTACCTAATAGAATAAGAGATACGATCATCGGGAATCACCTTCCATATAGCGACAAAGAATCTGAATGCTTACCAGGAATATTGAAGGGAATTAAATAACAAGTAGACGTGGTGCTACTTATATAGTATCAATCTATGGTGTTAAATCTAGGTGGGTATCTTTGTATGTCCTTGTTTGTTGATCAAAGTTAGAATAAAGCAACCTATCATATATCCCCTTTTTGTTCTCCACCGTTTTTCAAATCCGAACCAAACGAACTCAATACATCTCACCCGGAGGTAGGGTCTGGGAAACGTAAGATGTACCTCTAAACCAGATAGTAAAATGGCTGTTTCCATGAAGATCCAAGAGAAAGTCGAATAAGATAAGAGTTCTAGAAAGTTGGTAAGCATGTACAGACCTTCAAGCATTGTTGCTCTGGTTGTACTTTTTGGTTCTTGCACCTTTGAGAATATGAGAACTAATGTACTACTTTTATTGCATAAGGTACAACTTCCAGGAAAAGAATCACCTTTTTCTGGGTATCCCTAGCAAGTTGCAGGGAGAATGTAGCTGGTTAAATAATGAGAAAGTAGAAAGGGGTTAGTTTTGTCATTTTACCATTCTTTAGTTTATAGATGGGGACTGAAGCTGAACATGAATATACTAATGACTATTATGCTGTGCAAGTGGCATGGTTCTGATTCTTGTGCCCTTTATAGCTAGGATACATAGGAGTAATTAGAGTACATCCATAAAAGAAGTTGTCACCGGTCGTAACCGCCGGTCCCATAACCGGTCCCGGTTCTTGGCCGCTCCCAGTTCCTGTCTCCGACGGTCCCGGGCCTGGCCGGGCCGATGTGGCCATCACTACCTTTGAGTACCAGTTTTCATATAAATCTTAGTTTAACGGATTGAATGTTTATTTGAAAGTAAATGTGTGTTGAATGGATTGAATGCAGATAACCATATTTTTATCCGTTAGTTATCCAATATATACAAATAAGTAATATCTTATACTGGAAAAAAAAAAAAGCACTACAAAAAATCGTGTGAGAATATGAGTTAAGATGATAAGCATAAGAAGAGATCTAAATCCTTGATCACTTTTAATCTCACCCCTGCCTCATGAGTCGTGCTTCTCATGTGAATTGATGCGGTGCATCTCAATGCATCTTATTAAGGTTGATCTTCAATTAAGATTGATCCAAGGGTGAATATCTCTTCTCACCGTAATTTCTATTCTCACTTGAACCCAACCCTGTGTTAAAATCGGTACATTTGCTAAATGAAATGAACCCCTCTTATAAATTCCCTCTCACACATGTCAAAATTAATCATCATTTTGTTTTTATATTTTCTTTACAAACGTGGACGTTCGGGCCAACTTGCGTCTATCTCGACTAATCTCATGAGTTGCAATAAGCAATAAATCCGAAACGGAACCGGTTTCTAACTGCTGCTTCCTGCCTTGAAGTTAACAATTAGGAAAACCTTAAGTGGGTTTAAGGGGTTTGGAATTGATCTCCAATGGAGAGTACTCTTATCTGATTAACCCAAAAGAGAAGAGGTTTGTTTTAACACCTGAAAACAGTTATACAGCTTCTTTAAGCTACATGAAGTTGAAAATTTTCACTTGATAGAGGGATTATCAGTCTGATTGAAAAGCAGAATAAAAACATGCATCTTTGAATTTCTCGGCATACACTCCTTTATACACATAAAACAATCATAAAGAAAAACGAATAAAAGTTTTAACAAAATCTTGATTTCACTGATCAAGATTCTTTGAAAGTTGAAATGATATGGGAAAAGTTGGATTGGATTCCTTTTTCTAATCAAGATTGCTATCAATAGTCCATTCACACTTAACCCAACCCTACTGTTGACTTTTACACCATTTTGGTTTGTATTTGAAACCATCTTTAGGTATCAATATGGATGGCTTAAGGGGCGTTTGCCAAATCCTTAACGATTAAATGTTTACCGGGTGTCATTTTACCATGCATACCGGGTGAGCATGGCAAGAACCAATAATTTTACCTGATTTTTTACAGTAAGTGCTTACCGAGTAAAAGATGTTTAACAATAATCCAGATAGGTAGTTGAGAATATCACCCGATACCAGTAAACATTTAGTATAAAACCCATTTAATTGTCTTCAAGAAAGTCTTGAACCATTTCAAGAAACTTGCTCTGGTTGCTCTTTAATTTTTTTTTTTATTAACCTGGATATTCAATCCGTTATACGAGCCGACTAATTCCAGGACGACCATCTGTTTTACAGATAACTCGAAGTCACCGCATTTAAACCTCTGTAATCACAAGAGGATTTTTGTTCCTTCTTGGATTTTAAAAAGAGGTGCAACATGAGGACTTTTCTGGGCTTGTTGAGAGGTATTCAAAATGGAGGTCAAAGACTAAAAGTCAAAATCTCATGATCCTATGCAATACCACTACTACTACTACATAACAGAGATTCAAACAGAGATAAAAAGAACATCTCCTTTTGACCAAAAAAGAAAGATTAACAAACACCAAATACAGTTTCTCAAGAATCTTGATTTGTACAAGGAAAATCATGCTTAAAGTTTCATCATAGGATGATGCTTCATGTTGGTGGAATTTCGGTTTCGAACATGGGTCAACGAAAGTCAACCGTCGACAACTAGAATCTTTTTTGGATTAGGTGTTAGAAAAAATGGATCGTGGTGCTCAAAAGTTGTATCTGAAAAAGCGACTTGGATGCAATGACCGGTTGTACAGTACAAGTACAACCAGAATAGCATCCGTACGAGATCATTGCTCACGCGTAGCCGAGGGATTGCGGAAGTCCATTTCACATCTGTTCTCGAGGTTTTTTTTAGAGAGTAATCTGATGAGTTTTTACATATTCTTAAAAGAAACAAATCCTAATCCTGACTAATTCATTCTCAAAGGGCAAAACCGAACAACACTAACGTGCTAAACGGCTAAATATTCACATTGTAGATAAGACAATAAGAGAATACGGAAAACACCATGAAAAAACATAGAAGAGAACTACCAAATGATGCGAAAATAGAAAGCGTTCCAATCGTGCGTGTAAACTGGTTTCCGGGCTCACCGCTCATCCGTGAGGGTACTGCATCTGAAAAACCAAATTCTGAGGTCCACCGTAAGGTTCGTGTAAACCAGCACCACCGCCAGCGGCAAAAGAGTTCCCGCCATATCTAGGAGACATAAAGAGATCCCCATGTGTTTCGGTGGTGGTCGGATACCATTGATCCTGGGAGGTGAGGTGGTTTTCGGTGAGATTGACGGTCGTTATATCGTGAATGCTTGCTCTTCGCTTATCTTTCCCACCGGAAAGTTGGCGGATGAAATACTTCTGAGCATGGCTTGCAACTTGAGTTGGGGTTCTTGTGACCACAAAATTTCTAGAAATATTCCTCCAATCTCCTTTCCCATACTTCTTTAGCCCCAACAGAAACAATCTGTAAATTGAAATCCAAAAAACCCATGTCAAATCTTGAGAATTATGATATAGATACAGAATTTTTGTATCTAAACAACACAGTGAGTAAAGAAACTGAAGGGCTGAAGTTACTTATGCTCTTCTTCTGTCCAAGGAACACCCTTTTTCCTTTCTTGTTCAAGGGGGCGAAGACCGGGGGCGGCGGCGGAGGATCTCTTCACGCACCCATTGCTGTTGCCCCATTCTAAAGTGAAAGGAGAAGTGCTGCAATTATAACCATATTTGGGATAAAACCCTGCTTCAATACTAGTCACATCATCTTCCAATTCCTTATACTGCTGGAGGACGTCCGCCACCGTCTTCCCGGGGACCATCTCCGCCACCTTCTGCCACCGATCAGGTGTATCCTTATCGAACTTGGCAAGAGCATTCTCAAACAACTTGTTCTCAACTGGACTCCAAACTGTGCTCTTTATGCTATCTTCCATCATCCAACTTGAAGAATTGGACAGGATCACAGTCTCCCACTTCATCAGAAACCCAATTTACAATCCAAAATCAGATATTTGCAAGGGTTTTTGATGATTGAAAATGTGGGGAGGGTTTTAGAGGATTAAATCAAGAAGCATTTCGAAAAATGGAATCAGAATAGCCTTTTTCTTCTTTCTCTCTTTTGTTTGCATCCACAGCCAACCACCCAACCAACCTACCCCTTGAAGGAATCTTTAAAAGACCCACCTTTTTAAAATTAAAGGAAATACTTCCCCCAAAGATAGAGGGGGTGTGAGAGAGAGAGAGAGAGGTATCAGCAAAAGCAAATCCACTCTCTGTTCTTTCTTTCTGTCTTGCTGTTATAGAAACATCTGAACAAGAAGAGCTAGAAATGGTGAACAAGATCTGAACCCATTTAGGTGTCTGAAACTGTGAGAAATCTTGAAAAGGGGGCAGTCTGGAATGAAGCTCACCCAAAATGGATTTCAATTCCAAAAAAGCTGGAAATGGAATCTGGTGCTGAATCCTTAGGACTTTGGGTTCTGTGAAGAGGGCAAAGATTGGTGCTTTTCTCTTGGTCCATGAGTAAACCAGAAAAGGGTAAAGGAGAAACAACCATACCCTCTTCAACAAATGAATCTCATCTAAAAGTTAGAACAGCAGAGAGGTGGTGGGGTGGGGTGGGGTGGGTGGTGAATTATGATTGGATGAGATGGTGTCTGTAGACACTGCCAGCTTACTAGTATTTTAATAAGCACCCATTCTTCCCCATGATATACAAATGTTGTTGGTAATTCTATTTTAGTAGCAGTGAACAGGGTGTTAATGAGTTAGGTTGATCGGATCGGGTTGAAGACATATGAATAATTCAATCTAATATTTGTGGTTTGAAAAATCTTAACCCAACCCAATTCAAATCGTACGGGTTGATCGGGTTGGTCGAGTTGATACTTTGGTACATTAAAATATTTCTCTACTCATAATTTTTTTTTCATCATCAATCATTTGATACAACTTATCCATATTTTTTACGTATATCACATTTAGTTAATTTTCTCAATTTACGTATATATGTTTACAATTACTGGACATATATACGAATGAGTTATATAGAGATGTGAATAGATTGAAAAGATATGTATATGAATAGTGTACGTGATAATGTAATTGTCTAGTCTATATATTTATAGAAATTCAATAATAATTCAAGAAATAAATGGATATCGGGTTCATCGGGTTGGGTTGAGTTCAAATAATAGTAACCCAATATCAACCTAATACTTACGGTTTGAAAATTTTATAACTCGATTAGACATCGGGTTGCTTCGGGTTAAGTTATTTCGCGTTGGTTGGGTTGGGTTGATCGGGTTGGTGAGCACCCCTAGCAGGGACGGGCATATAATTTTTTTTTCAAACGGTGGTACCATTTGACTATAAGAAAGACTATAGGGAAAAAATTTCAAACGGTGACACCATTTGACTACAATAAACAAATATATATAAGAAAAAATCAATCGGTGGCACCATTTGACTAAGAAAATGATACTAACGCGATTTGAACTTGGGCCTGGGGTGTTATTTTCCTTGCAAATCAACTCTACCAAATAAAACTTGTTGTCATTGTAGTTTCAAAATACATACGGTGGCATACAATAGATTATACAATTGCACCTTTCACAAACCTAAAACTTTTTACCTTTAGACGGAGGAATAATACGGTAACATGTGCTACCATATACACCATTATAGGTCCATCAGTGTTTAGTAGGATTTAAAGAAATAATATATTTGTTTTGGATTTGGGAAAAGTAGAATGGATTAAAAGAATGAAATAGCAACCTACTTTCATAAAATTTCTTATTATAGCATTCTATTTTTGTTTTTCTTTATTACAGCAATGTACTTTCGAATTATTTTTTATTAAGGCATTATACTTTAAAAAATCTACTCATAATAGCAATGGGTAACCTGTTACTTTTTAAACCGGTTAACCTTTTGACTTTTTTGCTTGTGTGGCTTTAATGAGGTGATGTAGATGTCACATCATTTTGATGACTTAACTAAAATTAAAATAAAATTTTATTTCAAATTATTATTAGTGATTTTCATTTTTCATTGTTATGATCTAAAAAAACATTTAATTTTTTTTATTAAGCTGCATTCAAATTAAATATTCTTAGAGTAAAATATTTATTAAATAAATATGAAACACCATTTTTGAGATATATTTTGTTTGTAAAAAAGGTAACTTTTCCTATTTTATGTTGTTCAAATAAATACATACATTTTAAAGTTCTCTTTAAAATATTAACGAAATAAATTGTTATCTACATTTTTTTAATATTGTTATATTAATAAATATTTCAAAAAAGTCTAATTAATTTAATATATTTATACGTCAAGTAAAAAGTTTTTGAACAAATATAATATATTATTTAAAAGATAATATTTTTTTGGTAAAAAAATGAATAATTCTTATTTTCTTTTTTCAAAAAACACATACTTTTTAAAAATATTAGCGAGATAAGTTGTGTTCTACTAGTTTTATTGATATTGGTATATTAATCAATAATTTAGAATTTTTTTAATTCATTTAATACATTTATTAAATAACATGTAAAATATCTAAATCTTAAAATTAAAAATACAGTGTTTAATAAGAACTAGTAGATACTATAATAAAATAATTTTGAAAGTACAATGATGTAGTAAGAAAGTCACATCATTATAGTACATGTGGACAGCCTACGTAGACAATGAGGTGACATAAAAACCTAGTATAATGGGTAAATTTAAAACAAAAGGTTACCCAATGTTATAATGGGTAAATTTTTAAAGTACAATGTCCTAATAAAAAACAGTTTGAAAGTACATTGTTGTAATAAGAAAAACTGAAAATACAATGTTATAATAAAGAAGTTTATGAAAGTAGATTGCTATTTTGTGCATTTGTCCAAAGTAGAATCATAATTTCTTTATTTAACTTTTACTAAATATTTTCACTTTTTAATAAATGAATATGTCAAGATTCTAACACCTTATATTATTTAAAGTCATTATTATATTTAAATCAATGAGAATAAAAATTATAATGAAAAGAGTAGGAAGAGATCTACATTTTTAAATCAATTTTAATTAAAGAGTTCCACTAAATAAACACTAATGAGAAACACTATATCATTTCCCTTTTATAACGTAATTTATGGGTTGGTTTGCAATCAAAAGTGATCAAGGGTCAAAATCATTTCTTACATTTCTCAGATTAACTTTTATTCTCACACGATTCTTCGTCATACTAAACGAACCTCTTTTTGGTAGTAAATAAACCATAACATACATTATGTTATCATATTTAGAGATGGCCAAACACCAGTTCCTATCTGAGATTTTTTTTTCTCTTGTAAGCAGTTCCATTGTAATCGATTCTGGTCTCGACTAAAAATACCTGACGCGTTCTTCTTGTACAAAACCCCGTCCCTGGCCGGACCCAAATCCGTCCCAAACTTATTTTTCTCCAAAAATCAATTTTGAACATAACCGATCCTTACCAATCCAGGTCCCGGTCCTTGAATTTTTGTAAAACCATTACCGGTTCCGGATCGTCAATCCATAACCGATCCTTACCAATCCAGGTCCCGACCCTGGACCAAACAAGGTCCATTTTAGCCATCTCTAATCATATGTCTTAAAATGAAACCAACCTATTGATTTGATATTGAAATAGATTTGTTTTAGAGGTAAGCTAAATACACATCTACTTATTAACTTTTACCTCATATATATTAATACTAAATATCACTTTTTATACTTTTAATATATAATTAACTTGATTTTGATATATATATATATATATATATATATATATATATAGGTTCACGTGAGACTAAGGTTTTTTCGTGAGATATGTTCACTGATAAACTTTATAAGCTAATGATCTAATGGTCTAAAGTTGCACGGTGACAATTTTGTGATTATTGAGAAGTCTCGTGGCAATTTTGTGATTATGAATGTTCAGATTATAGATCTAATATATGGGTTGAGAATTGGTCTTATGGCTCTTATGAAAAACTCTTGGTCTCACATGATACCAAGTCTATATATATATAAGAAATTGGCCAAAATAGTTCTTTGATTTACCCAAATGTCTCTACCTATGCAAATCTCACCTCCTCCACTTGAGGACCTGGCTAAAAGACAAAAAACCTAGATTCAGCCCAGGTTCGCAATTGCGACGGTCAGGTTCGCAATTGCGGCAGTACCACTTGCTAACCTAGGTTGAATTTGATTTTTTTTTGTCTTTTAGCTAGATCCGTAAACGAAGAAGAAGGTAAGACTTGCGTAGATAATGACATTTGGATAAATTAGATAGATAAATTATTAGGATATCAATTTATATGAGATAAATAAAAATTTAATATTATAATTAATTAATATGTGGTGGCACATGTACAAGGAGATTGATGTGACAAGCGTCTCCACCATGATTTATAAGCTTATATATCTTTCTCTTTGTTGTCAGCCTATTGGTAGCTAGTTTCCATCTTTGGGTGGGCCCCCCTCCTTATGAAATAAGTACAATGACTCGTGTGAGAATGAAAGTTAATATGAGTATATGACAAGTGTAGGAATAGATCTTCATCTTTGGATGTATATTAGGATGAGATTTTTATTGAAATGAGATGTACATGAGCAAACCATGTATCAAGAGCGATTCATGGATGAGTTTGAGATTAAACGTGATCAAAGGTCCAGATTTCTTTTTAGGCTTCTCATCTTAACTTTCTTTCTCATGCGATCATTCACCTTTATTCATAACCACTAATGTTAACTGACTAGTTTATAGTAAATTAATCATGCTTAATTAGAGAAGAACAAAATGGGATTGGAATCGGGCTCATAACATGTATAAACTAGTTCTAGGTTTATAATCAATCCCATATTTTTGAATTTTTTTTAACATATAATATGTGTGTATATATATATATAATGTTTATTGATATATATATATATATATATATATATGAGCGATCAAATGAAAATTACTCCAATTTGTAAAAACCGT